GTGGGTGAGTGGGGGTGGGTGGGTGGGATTCTCATTCACACCACCACACTGCTCTAACAGAGGACCTGAGTTTGATTCCCAGTACCCACTAGGCAGCTCACAACCATCTATATCTCACAGTACTTGGTACCCTCTTTTGACCTCAAGGGCACCAGGCACACATGTGGTGTGCAGACAGATAGACATACAGGCAAAACACCCATACATATGCAAAACCAATTAAACCCATCAAAAAACAAAGTTGTTTATTACATTTAGTGTGGTGTGTGTGTGTGTGTGTGTGTGTGTGTGTGTGTGTGTGTGTGTGTGTGTTTGAGCATGAGTACATGTGTGGAGGTCAGAGGACAACGTGTAGGCACAACTTCCTCCTTCTACCATGTTGGTCCAGGGAATCAAATTCAGGTCATCAGGCGTGGCTGCAGGTACCGTTATCCACTGAGCATCTCACTGGCCCATGTAGTTGGATACAGGGCTTTCAACAGCTTTGTAAGCTGAATTAAGCACTGTATAGTGTTAAGAAAAACAAACCAGAGGTTCAAAATTTGAAAGCCTTACTGAGAATGGACTCAAATCTAGGTTTTCCAATCCCATAAATTCCACGTGCTTTTCACTTCGCCACTTGTCTCCTGGAAAAAAAAAAAAAGTCTAACGGCTCGATGTCACAGTTTTACAAATTGTAGGAACTGAGCTAAGTCTGTGAAGGTCAATGTCAAAGTTATCCTAAGATGCTGTTTCCTAGGTGATGTGACAGGTGGGATGTGAATGTGAGGCTCAGTCATGCCGACTGGATAGAACTTGACCGGCTTTAGATGGGTCAACTTTGATAGTATACAACCATTTCTTTTAGGTTTATGAAATGTTTCTCTCTTACAGGAATACACGCGGTCCCTGACTGATTAATGAGAAAGCTGATATCCACGTGAAAATCAGCAACCAACCACAAAACCTGAAGAGGACTCCTTCAGGTCCTGTGCTCCTCAGGGCCTGGAAGTGCAGAGTTGATTAAGTGTTACTGCTGATAGCCCAGGTCCATCCCACACTGTGCTCCCCAAAACAAAACAAGAAAGAAGGGAGGGGCCTGAATTACATAGGAGATGTAATCTTTCCAAATAGAGAAGTCACTTTCCCTTTGGGCAGAGAAAATGAGGCACGAGACCTCAGGAGTGGCATGTCTAACCTACTATAACTTAGGGAAGGTCGTACGACTTAAAACAGGTGAAACCCTTAAGCCTGATACAGAGTTAGCATTTGATTGATGGAAACCGTTTTAATTAGAACTCTGCAGGCTCCTTTCTAGTTCCAGCATCTCCGTTGATTGTGTGACTGGAGCAAGAGACCACATCTGTCTTGTTCACTGCTGAATTAGTGCAGTGACCAAGATTAGTGCCTTGCATATACCTGCAATAGAATTGCACTAATAATTTGCTATTCTATTGCAGGTAATGATCTAATCCTAAGATCTCAGTGACACTTAAGTTGCTTATATGCTCTAGTCATCTAGCCCACAATCCAGTACATCTCTTGAGAGTCTGGGTTCTAAAATCAGGCAAAAACGTTTGCAGCCACATTAACAGTTAGTGCTACATATCGGATTCCAATATTCGAAAAGGTCAGTTCACTTAGAACAGCAACGCGTGTATAATTCTCCAATAATGTTAGTGCTAATTAATTTTTCTCTTTCTCCACCTATGCTGGTCAGGTCTGTTAACAGAGACAGCACTTTTTCCTTTCCTTTGCCCGTCTCTGGGGACTACGTGTCCGCAGCAATGCTACACTAAAGTCTTTTACTTTGAAGTTTTAGGGAACAGGTTTAGTGTTGCCCTGCATTCTCATTGTTTGGGAAAACAAGCTCTGTCTCACCTACAGGCAAAGCCTCTCCCCAGTTCTTACTACACCAGGGCAGAGAAAACAGTCTCAGGCTGTCATATGGGTGGGACCCAAAGCTCACCAGTTGCACTTTTGAAGGTGCCTTTGTATGGCATCATCACATCAAAGAGTTGGTCCCTATAATCATAGCACCTACCATCCCACAGCCAGCCAGCAGAAGACAGCATGCATAAAAGTAGAATGCAGAAGGTTTTCATTAGAAAATACAAAGACTTACATTGAATGACAGAAATGAATAGGCTGAAGACACACATATTGCTAAAACCATGTAAGTAAAAAAAGACAGTACAAAAAAAAAATTCCAAGTAAGTTCCAAAGGCACAAATGAGAACTATTTCATTGGGGGTTGACTTCAGGGACTCTCAAATGAAGGTTTCCTCAAGACTCAGAAGTCCATTGTGTCCCCCTGCTTCAGTGTGGAATCTAAAAGACTCTCTACTTAGTGTCGGACTTGTTTTCCTGTTAAACAGGAACTGGAATCTGAACTTTGCTCTCCAAAAGCCAAAGGCCAACTAATTTAGGAGGAGACTCTCAAAATCAATGATGGTTTCTTCTACTTTCATTAGTTCTGTCTACAGTGATTAAAGGATCTGATTTCCAGATAAGCAACCATCCTGATGGCCATTTTTACAAATCACATTAATTTTGATACTCAGATCTTAGCACTGGCAGCATTCCTGAGGCAAGTCTGGATTCATGCAGCATTCCAGCCTTGAATGCTTTTCAAGTTTCCAGCAGAATCCTGTCCAGATGAGTGATGACACCTTTAGTGTGGTAGCCTCAAGGTGTGGAAGTCGTTTCCTATGGCCTAGGTACAGCCCGGCCCCTCCATTTGCTGAAACATCTGCAAATACTTTGTTCATTTCAGAGACATCTGACCACAGAGAGGCTGCCATCTGGACCACTTCCTTTTTCCTTATTGTTCACTTAAAGCATGAATGATCTGGGCAGGCACTCATCGGGAGAGAAACAGGGAAGGCACAGAAGTTATTTCTGAATGTTTTCCTCTCCTGTTTATTAACTGATTCACTCAAACCATGATCACTCACTGGGTGGTACTAGGAAAGCAACAGTCTCTGCCCTTCGAACAAGGAACAACCTATTGCAGGTTGTATATGTCTCAACATGACGAATTATAGTTGTATGCTCGTAGTAATAAATCATACTTAAAAGCGTCTTTTATGTGAGAGTCCTACAATTGCTTTAATTCCTCTTTATCTCTTAGTTTTGGTAGTCACAGGGCTTATGGAATGCTTCCCTCAAACTCTTCATGGTGTTTCACATCTTTAAAATTACACAACCTTGAAAGCGACATTTTATAAAAAGTTTTTGTTGAATAATAATCATTAACTTTTAAAATTCCAGAGGAAATCAGGAGTAGTGGCTGGTACCCGTAATATCAATCCTGTGGAGACCGAGGCAGAGGAACTACCAGGAATTCAAGGCTTGGGGATGTAGCAAGACCTAGTTCAAAAGGCAGGGGTGGGAGGTGAGTTATGGAGAGATGGCTTAGTGGTTAAGTAAGAGCTTTTTGCTGCAGCAGAGGACCAGGGTTTGGTTTCTAGCACCATCATTGTGGTCTACAACTCACTTCCAGGTAGATCTGATGCCTTCTGGTCTCTGGGAGCACTAGGTGTGCACATGGTACACATACATACAAGCACACAAACACTCATACATATCAAATAAATCTTAAAAAATTAAAATACATTTAAAAGAATCTCTTAGGAGTCTTTGCTTGTTAAGTAAAAGGGGAATTGTGCGGTGCAGTAATCCGATCCCTTCATATGCTTTATTTGCTCTAGGCCTAAATGTTAAATTACAAGACTGAGCACTTAATTACCATTGGGAACTATTTTTTTTAAAGGTGTTAATTCAGCTGGGTAATTTTATGCTCTTACATGACATTAATTCCGCATATTTTATATATTTATATATTTATATTATGCACATATTTTAATAAGTTACATAGTAACTCTTCTTTTATGATAATCAAATCATGCAAAAATCAAATTAACTCTGTTCCTGGAGTTGTTAAGCAATA